ATACTGAGCATGTGAGCTTTGAAAGTCACTGAGAAGGCTTACGCAGCCAAACAAGACATTAAAATAAGTGCAGAAAGACAATTACTTTTATAGATACAACTAATTTTGAAACATTTAAATTCTGTGAAGTTTACCTCATGAGATAAAATTGTATAAATCTTGTTAATTTGTGCACTGGCAACAAAAGAAGAATTGATACCATGCTGTGATAACAAGGTTTGGAGCTGGATGAACATAGCAGGCCAAGCAGCATCAGAGGAGCAGGAAGGCTGACGTTTTGGGCCTAGACCCAGCCTTCCTGCTCCTCTAATGCTGCTTGGCCTGCTGTGTTCATCCAGCTCCCCACCTTGTTATCTCAGGTTCTCCAACATCTGCAGTTCCTACTGTCTCTGAAACAATTGATACCATGCTGTTTTATTGTTAACAACCCACCAGGCTCAGTGTTGTTCTGCAGAGAGCAGAGTTGGCATTCTATTGTGTCTGGCCTAACTGTGACTCCAACTCCACACCATGTAACTGCATTTTAATGTCCTCAAAGCAACCAGGCATCGGCTGCTGTAAATACGCACCCTCACTAGTGCCAAGCACAAAGAATAGGACCAGTGAAACTCCCTTTACAGTAGGTAATGTTGGAAGGGGGTATGTTTTATCATCATCTCTTCTGTCTTTCCTGCTGTCCATGATTCCGACTCTTCAGGCTGTGCTTACTCTGTTGAAGCAATTATTTTAGTCGTGGTTAACTTTCAAGGATTAATTTGTGTTTACCTTGCAGTATAACTGCTTCACGAGCTCTCCAACAGAAATAAATAGCTCAATAACACAGTTCCTAGTGTCAACGAAACCGGGCTTGAGATCATCCAGGACAAAGTCGCCCACTTGATTGGCACCACATTCACAAATATTCACTCCCTCCACCACTGACACTCAGCAACAACAGTGTGTACTATCTGCAAGATGAATTGCAGTAACTTCCCGAGGTTTTGCCACTAGCATCTTTCAAAGCCATGACCTCTACCATCAGGAGGCACAAAGACAGCAGATGCATGGGGATCCCAGCATCTGCAAGTTCCCCTCCAACCCCACACCATCCTACATCTTATATCTTGTTGGATTTGTATCACCATTCCTGCACTGTTATCAGGTCAAACTCTTGGAGCATCCAGTCAAATGTCACTGTGGGAGTCCCAATGTGGAAATGATTTGCAATGGTTCAAGAATGTACTCACCACCACCTTCTCATGGCCAGTTAGGGATGGGCAATAAATACTGGCCCTGCCAGCGATGCCCACAGTATGTACATGATTTTGTTTTAAACTGGCAGCTTAGTTCCAACATGAGCATGTCTTGTGGCGATGCAGGATTTAGGTGAGTTAGTAAACACCAAAGATAGTGCCACAAAACTAATTTGGAGACTTTGAGATGTATAACAAGCTCCCACGCACAAACGTCTTTGGCATTGATGCTGCTGGTATGCTCAGTGATGGACTAAAGAAAGAAATGAGGAGCTGAGCACATTGCTACTGTCACTCTCGTGCATAGACACCTATCAGGAACAAAAATAATGATTGCGACGACGATCTTCAGTTCTGTGGGAAGACTAGGAAGGTTAGAATTGGTCTCCTTCGAGCAGAGAAGGTTAGGAACTTAGAATTATAGAATCCCTGCAATGCGGAAAATGACCATTTAGCCTATCGAGTCTGCACCAACCCTCCAAAGAGCATCCCACCCACACCCGCACCCACTTTATTCCCATAACCCTGCATTTCCCATGGCCAATCCACCTAAACTGCACATCTTTGGACTGCAAGAGAAAGCCATAGCACCTAGAGGAAACCCATGCAGACACAGGGAGAATTTGAAAACTTCACATAAGGCTGGAATTGAACCCAGGTCCTTGGCACTGTAAAGCAGCAGTGCTCACCACTGACCACCTTGCCCCCCGTAACTTCAATACTTTATAGATTTTTAACATGGAAGGGATTAATTATGGAGATATTGTTCAGTTGGCAAAAACGGTTTAAAGCCATTGTTTAGGGAAGCTGGGAGTTTTCTTCTGGAATGAGTTAACAGGCTCAACCCCTGGATACTGGAGAGTAGTACACATACCTGCACTCCATTGCCCTAGCCTCATCCCAACCTAGGGCTCCCAGCTTAGGGACAGCAGCCTCGCATGGAGACCCTTGGTGTACCTGGATCATCCAAACCTAAATGCCCCCAGGATCACTCAACTGGACCTTTAGGTTAAATGGGCTCCATCCCAGCTGTGGAGCAGGGGAGCACAGTGTGACACAGCAGGATGAAGACGAAGGGAAAAGTGTACTAAGGGCACATTGGGGCTCAGACTGACAATGTTCTATAAGTACTTAATACTTTCTTCATAAACAGTTTGTCTTTCACCGTTCACTTGGTTGTCCCTATCTCTATGTAGGGCCTAGATGCTTCATTGCAGCCTGTAACATTACTCCTTGGGCAATGATTGGGGGACTACAATAAGCATCAGGTAAATCATATGGGAGCAGGGGAAACAATGCATGTATTTGGTATTGGGTCACTCTGACATCTTTGGATCCACCCTTCTCCCATTTCAGCACTGCCCACTGCTCAGCTGGCTGTGTGTACAGGAATATACATTTCAGGGATGGGTTTCCTCAGCACTGACGGTGCCAGGGAGGAGCAACACATACAGGGACTATCGATGCTGCAGCATAGCCAGGGCTTACGGACCCTGCTTGCTGGGTGTTGCCAATCAATCGTGTTTGTTCCCATTGTTGTTCCCCTGTGAATGCCTAGTGACTGGTTTTAAATGCAGCCACTTATCCTGCCCTTAGCAAGTATGTTTATGGCCATCTTCCTCGAAATTGCACAGTTTGCCAATGCATCGTGATTGAAATGACAAGAAGTCCTCTGCCACTGGCTTTCAGCCTCAGCATTAATGTCCTACTGAGGCCCCCACCATTGCCCTCTCCTTCCTAAGTCCCCATTCCACAGGCTGCACACTTCCCCAGGTCATTTCACAAGCTGTGTACATGTGTCTACACTAACAATCTACCCCTGTCAAACCCCCATCCAAACCCCCCTGCCCCATCTTCTTTAATTTCTGTGAACGAGGGCAAAGAGGCGAATGTAGGACCACCACCAGCCCCCCAAATGTCTTGCCTTGTCAGCACTGGCCGAGACCTGCCCACATCCCTAAACCATGTCCTCAACAAGGACGGACCGCCCTACCCCGATAGAGACAAAGGACCCACTCCTCAGAGCACAGAAGTATGGACCCCTGTGCAAAGCCACCCTTGCTGGATGCCTGATGGTGGCTGGATCCCGGGACTGGGATGGGAAGCTACCTTTGACTAACTGAGCTGGGCTCCCTGACTGGCATGTATCCCTGGGACTTCACTGCGGACACTCCCTGAAGATTCTCGAAGATGCCCCACTGCTGACTGCAGGTGCCATGTTGGCATGAACACTGCTGCCATGTGGTGCTTGTGCTAGACTGACATGACACGCTGACACACTATAAGAGAGATGCTCTTTGACACATGGCCAGTGGCTTGATCATGTGACTGGGCCAATTGCCTCTGCCAGGTAAGGCATGATAGCTGTAGGTATGCCAGTAGGCCCTGGGTGAATGCTGCTAAAAGAGCAGCCCTGGTAAGAGCCCTGATGCATGCCATTCCTGAGCAGTGACTGTATCCGATGCAACCGTACGTTGGTGCATCGAAGAGACACAAGGATGGTGGTGGTGGTGTCCTAAATGCTGGGTGCCCATATCCTTTGCTGGGAAGGTGCACGGGGCTGGTACTTTTCCATCGTGCCCTGCTCTACAGTTTGGCCGTGGGCAAAAAACTAAGGCTGTTCAGTGGAGGCAGCAAGCTGATCCTGCCAAGCACCCGCTTTGGTTTCTAGGTCAGGTTTTCCCAACAACTAGTTTGGTAAGATCACAGCCGAATATTGATGAGGAAAGTTGAGTGAACACGGAGCTCTAACACGTGTTAATCACCATCAGTTGGCAACTTGCTGCTATCCAGCGTGAATCTCATCATGCCACTTAGGAAAAGCATCAGAGATGGGGCAAGCTGACCTCGAGGTGGAGATGATCAGAGCGAGGACTTTGTTAAACGTGATTGACCTTGTGTAAGGACCTGTCTCCATCTGCTGATTATCGGGTGCTGCTTTACGGGAATTTTACTCTGGAAGATGTAGTGATTGTAACAAGATCGGCCAGGTGGACCTCATAGAGTATGAGTTCCCTGATTGGAGTTGTTAACCTGGTCCAATCATGGACCCCCTGTCTAGCAAACATAAACAGGGTGGTCAGACATCTTGTTCACTCTGAGAGCTAGCTCTGAGGGAGCTGGATCAAGGACTCTCCACGTGTAAAGAAAGGGTGATGGGATAGCGGCCTCTCTGGAGTTATTTCAGAAAGCCTTGGGTGTGGGATGTGCATTCAAAATTCTGGACAGGACTAAGGAGGAAGAAGAGTATACAATGATGATTATGAATACATATCAGTGAAAGGGAGTAACTGTAATAAAAGGGTCTGGTAATCACCATCAAGAAGATGCAGTTGTGTCTGACATTCCTTTCCATCTATAATGCAGGATGTTTTCCAAATTCTTTCTCTGTCTGTCTGTCTTTTGATTCAGAAACTCACTGAGGATTGTGCACTTCACTGAGGGCACAGCAGTTTGACTCCAGCTTCCTTTAACTCCCCTACTTGCTGTTTTTATTATGGTCACATACGTGAGTAATAAACACTGCTGCAGAGCTGAAGCAGCTCTGGCAGTTCCTTCGCCCTTTTGACTGACAGGATTGATGCAGTTTTGTTGGTATTGGAAGGTCTCAATAGCCTCTTAGCAGTAAACGGTGATAAATCATGAGCAATTCGCTCTGGGAACTGGTCCCTGCAGTGCCTTTTGCTGTCTAAATGACCCTTCTTTTTACTGAGTGCTCCTTACTGATGTACTGAGCAGCTGTAAGAACCCTCTCTGTTGTTTCCCTAGGTCCTAGATGTGAAGCAATCCCATGATGCAACATGTGTCCCCTGCATCATCACTGACCATGATGGCAACCCAGAGTGTACCCCCTCCAACATACCAAGAGAGCCAACAGGTGGGTTTGTGGTAACTCCAGGAGCACTGCAGAACCTTTACAGTTTCACCATGAGAATGCTTGATGGGATTCTGAGACTGGGAGCCCTGAAATTAATTTTAAAATTTGGCTCACATCCACATTTTGTTCAGTACTGTCCTATGGAAGTGGGGGATAAAAAGTTACCAGCTCCACACGCAACTGACTTAATAACCTGCAGTGCAGGTAGACTTAAACTCATTCCAAGGAAAAGGTCTGTTGGTTCTCTGCTCAGTGGAATTCTAAGCTATTAAAAAATATATATAATTTTGTAAGGTATTCCAGGCTTTGACGCTTTGTTCAGGACTTGATCTACTTTTATTATGTAAATAAAATCTTTGTTATTGCCATAGGTCATGCTATATACTTGATCAATCATTTAGGATGGCCCTATTTTTCCCAAAAATCATGCTTTCACACAGTCTATCTAAATGTCGACCACCTTCTCCCTGCCTCACCCTTTATAGCCGCAACATTTTATAATCAATTAGCTTCAATTTTTCACCTCACAAAATACATTTGTTTACTTACCAATACTTTATAACTGGGCACAAGGGATAGAACAGGTGATACAGGCTGTGTTTCGAAGAATTAGGCTCAGAGCAAACTGAGCTATCGAACAACACAAAGTACAAACAGAAATCCCAAAGTGCAATGAAGTGAGAATCTGGCTTCAAGCTAAAATACACAAAATGTGCTAACTCAGGAAATAGCTAGGCTACAGTAAGGGGATTGGGTATTGGTGAAAAGCTGGTACAAAAATACAAGAAGGAGGAATCTGCTCTGAAGAAGGTGCCCAACACTGTGGCATCATAAGAACATTGACCAGCCATGGGCCTGAACTTGGCAAGCATATACTGGAATAATCCTCTAAAACAGACAAAATGGTTACACATCACTGGAAATGCAATATATCCCAGGATATCTAACCTTTTTGTATTGGAATCAAGGTTTGAAGGGGTGGGGAAGTGTCAGAGATAAAAAGCCTTTCAACATAGATCTTTCCTCCTCTCTCAGCCTATTTTGGGATAAGTGTTTAGAGAGTGGAAAGAGGGCAAATGCGGGTGGCATGTCTCACTCAGTCTCAGGGCTCACACTTTCACGGTTTCATTTCTCTCTCCCTCTTTCGTTCACTCATGCACGTACTGTCTCTCTCTCTCTGTCTCTCTCTCTAATTCCCAAATGTGCACCATCCTGCACGTACCCTATTTTTCACTCTGTCTGTCTGTCTGTCTGTCTGTCTGTCTCTCTCTCTCTCTCTCTCTGTTTCTGTTTCTCTCTCCTACATGTGCTGTCCTTCTCCCTGTGCAGTTTCCCACCTTCCTGCCTCGCATGTGAGACCAGGGCTGGTGTGTGAAGAACAAAGTCTCATTTGCCACTAGAATACTTGGAACCCTGTTCACCACCTCTTAGTTCCCCAGCAGGCACCCTGACCCTAGGGACTACCTGGAGCCTAGCAGAGGTCCCCTCTTTGCTGGCTCATCACCGTTCCTGGTATTCAGGCTACAGGATGAGTAAAGATACAAATGTTCACCCAGCTTGCTGTACTTCCAATCAAAGACCATTTCATTTCTATATTTGCTGCTTGAAAGGCTTACCAGTGAGCTTAAAACTATTGGCAGCAAACGTGGGAGAGATATGACCTCTGATTGTAGAAACATCTCCTTCCAGAATCTTCCATATGCACTTATCTGTAATTTGGATACTTTGTCACAAGCTGAACAGGACCCTATGATGGACTGCATTCTGACCCATGGGCTTCCTGTGGAATAAGCCTAGTATATGTTCATTTACATGGACAAATCAAGCCTTAAGTAAAATGGAAAAAACTCAAGGCAATAGTTATTTGTAGCTATTTTGGAGAACTAAAATGTCTAGAAATGGCAGAAAATTAAAGTGCTCAGAGACTACCAGAAGAGTTTCCAGTGATTTTAAATCATCAGACAGCAGCAAAAACATGGATAGCCATTGTGTCATGTTGGTTACATACATGGCACAGCCATGAATTTCAACATTGCTCAGCAACTGAACTGTGAAGTGGACACATTTGAAAACAATTCCAGTGGAAATCACAGGACATGAGAAGACAAGGTTCATAACCTGCATGGTTGACAGAAACCAATGACCATTTCAAACGTAAAGCCATTCCAAAATTGAAGGACTGTGCAGAACATTTTGTTAAAGGTCATGTACAAAGTGGATGGATGAGGGTGGTGGGAAGTTGTGGATCAAGAATGTGAGGAATAGGTGTTCTGTTGTCCCACACAAAGGATGCAGCTGTTAGTGTGGGATATTCTTAGATCCTAGACATATCCTAGACATTTTCTTATCAGCCTGTTCAGAGATATTATTACATTACCACTTGAGCAAGTGGGACTTGAATCCAGGCCTCCAGAGGTAGGCACATGACACCTAGAGCCCTATTTATGTTTTGATCCTCCATAAGCAATGAGACTAGGAGGCACCTGCGAAGATCTTATGCAAAATTGCAGGAGGTCTGACATTTGTAGTTTAACCTTGGATGTGTTCAATAAGCCATTCGAGCATAGTGTTTGTATTTTGTAAGGCTTTATCAACAAATCATAGGATGTAAATGTGCAAAGGTGTCAACAGATGGCTCAAAAATTGGGGAGTGTCTAAGTGAAAGCGTAGAGTGCTTGTGGAGCGCTGATTCTGAAATTGAAAGTGTTACGTCTAAAGCAGAGAGAGATCCTTACGATGACGCCACAGCCAAAATGATTCAGAATGAGTTCAATGAACTGTTTGCATTGGATGCTGTTGACAGTGAATCTGATGGGTTTTAAAATGTTTGCTTTGTGACTAAAGTAATCTTTGTAGATATCTTCCAAATTAACCTGTTCAGAATTGCTATTACTCACCACTGGAGTAAGAGAGGCTTGAACCCAGGTCTCCAGGCTCAGGGGTAGGGACACACTAACTGCACCATGAGAACCCCAAGGGAATTTTTGTAGACTTAATTAAATTAACTGTGTAACATGATTGCAATATAAATTACTAGTGTTATGTCATTATTTCCACGTTTTGAAACAGCAACAACCCACAGCAACAGTTCACAATTTATTCTTGGTTTTAATGCTAACCCCCTTTTTGGGAAACTATTTAGAAGGTGAAAGACTTAACTTACTGTGATCTAAAGTTTATGAATTGCTGAGGTTGTTGTTTTGTGGGCAGTAGAACCTGAAGTAACTGTTTAGTACGTGCAAAGTCTCCAAATATTAAACTGAAAATAGAATGCAAGATTTTGCAATGTAGCCACAGACCATTAGACCAATCAGGTCTGTCCATGTGTCAACAAGAATCATCCAGAATATTCTCACTGTCTTGCCCATTATCTTTTTGTAACTTTAATGTTCTTCTATTTCAAATGATTAAAAGAAATTCAATTGCTTTCAATAACTGTCAAAGCAAAATTATTTCATTATCAATGGAAATCAGGGAAAATTCTCCACTGATTGAAATCATACCCGTTACATAGGAAGATGTTTGTTGGAAGTCAGTTATCTTAGCTCCAGGGCGTCTCTGCAGGATGTCATCAGGGTAGTGAGTAACTCGACTCCTGTCTCCCCGACTCCTGTCTGCCATCTTCAAGGTACAAGTCAGTAGGGTGATGGAATAGTCCCCACTTGCCTGGATGAGGGCAGCTTCAACAACATTTGAGAAGCTCGACACCATCCAGGACAACTGATTGGCAACCCAGCCCCAACCATCAGTATTCACTCCCTCTGCCACTGACACACGGTGACAGCAATGTATACTATCTACAAGATTCCCTGTAGAAACAGACCAAGGCTTCTTCAGTAGCACTTTCCAAATCTGTAACCCTTACCACCTAAAGGAACATGGGGAGCTGATACATGGGAGCACCAACACCTGCAAGACCCTTTGAAGCCACTCACCAGCGAGACTTGAAAATATATCATTGCTCCTCTATTGTCACTACGTCAAAATCCCGGGCCTGTCTCCTTGACAGCACTATGGGTGTATCTGCACCTTCAGAACTGCACTAGTTCAAGAAAGCTGCTCATCACCACCTTTTCCAGGCCAGTTTGGGATTGGCAATAAATGCTGATCCCATCAGCCAAGCTCCATCCCATCAATGACTCTTTTTATAAAATTAAGGACTGCGGGTTGCCGGATATCTGAAATAAAATCAAAAATTGCTGCAAAGACTCAACAGGTCATGTAGTATCTGTGCTACAGACGGGAGCAGCCATTTTTTTTTGCCTGCAGGGAGGATGTGTGGACGAATTGCTATTTCTGAAAGACCCCCGCAGTCATGTGAATGTGGAGCTCCTGGCGGAGATTTCCTCTTGACCCCACATCAAGAGGACATGGGCAGCCCTTCCTATCCTCCTGTACTAAGGCCCAATCGCGATCCTACCTGGTGTTAATCCCTGCCCCTCCCTTGTCTGAGGTCTCGTTTTCTCTCTCACACTCTCACTTAACTGATGGCCTGTGAGACACAAGTGGGAACCCTGCTTAATTCACATCTTTCCTCTCCTTACCACCATTGCAACTGAGATCTTCAGACTTGACAGAGATCAGGGATCGAGTGTGGGACATTATTGATCCAAGTGCCATTGTGGACAATGAAGCTGCTACCTTAGATGGCCCAGGAGCTGGCATGAGCTTACATTTAATATCATAACATGGAAGGTGCCAATTTATCTTGTCAGAACTCCACTGTACATATTGAGATAAATAGATTAATCAAGCACCCACTCATTAACAGTCTGCTGCAGGTCCGATTTGCCCAATGATCAGGGGAATGAAAATAAATTATAATGTCTTAAATTAAGCTTCTTTGTTCTTTGCGCATAAATTCTGTCCTTGAGGATTTGTGGCAGAGAGATTTATAACACGCAGAGACTGTCAGTCATTTCGACAGGCTTGATAACAGGATGACTAAGCTTCTATAGTGGTCCCTGGGGAGGCTGGTGTCTGTAGGAGGTGAGCACAAG